CATCAGGTTCGCCGTCCGAAATTTGGGTTTCTGTGCCCGGTCATCCTTCGGGGTGGACATCAGTGTATTATGCGACTGTGGTTCGCAGCATGGGATACATAGACCTACGTATACACACAAGGACACGTCGAAAACAGAGGGCACGACAAATTTATTCTGCTACTTCACTGCACATCATTCATCCGATCAATAAGTTTACTTGGCAAAATCGTCCCGGTAACCTGTCTATATCAACTTGTCGTCCTTCTTCAGTCTGTGTGTAGTCACACACTCATAAACCCGTTTTCAATGGTCTGATGGAAGTAATTAAACGACGCATTGATCTGAAAGCGAAATTGATTCATTTCCCAAAATATGTTGGCTTTGAAACAAAATCAATTCAAACATTTTAGGAACCCTGTTATACAATTCACTGGTAACGCTACTCAGAAAATCGAGTCATGTCAAATAATCTCGTTTCTGAACAGAAAATTTCTAGAATGGGGCGGAAAATGTATAACTTTCATTTGTCTTTGTACTACGTGATGTATAATGTTAGGTGTTTCTTTCGTTTATCGTTGTGACTGAAAATGGCATTTATATTCCCGATTGCTCAATAAAGATTGGAACAATGTTGAACGGTAAATCATTTAGGAGTAAATAAACTGAAGTTCGAAACATGGAAAGTAGCGTAATGTTTTACTAAAACTAACTTGAATGTTAGAAAAATACAAAAGAATTAAGTTTTGATTCATGGTCCCTTTGGTGATTAGCTACTCTTTTACATTAACGGTGGCCATGACAGAAAAATTGGAGTCTTGTTGCTATGATGTTGGTAGTATTCGCAGCTCCTCGTTAATAAGCAGTCAAAAATAATGCTCAAACCGTCAAAAGAATGAATTCGATTACACTTTTGCTCTCTTTGCAAGTGATTCCGCTTTCCGATATTCTATTGCTTTCAGTGTTGAAATTAAGTCATGAGAAATCTCTTCCTAACACAAAGTCTGCTAATCAAAACCAATCCTGAGTTATTTTATTTTATTTCAACAGAAGACGACCTCGGTCTAGCACATGCAAATCCACCAGTATCAGGGTTGTTGAAGTGGNTCGTATTATTTGAAGGAAGTGATTCAGTCCCTATGTGATACCAGTCGTTCTCAATGCAACAGTTGTTTCCTTCGCGGTGTATAACCCAAAAAGTGGAAGATTTTTATCTGGTTTGATTCAGCTACAATCGTTCCATGCCTTAAGAGCATTTTAGATTGATTTCGTAATTTCACGCTACGATCGAAGTATTTTGGGACACAGGTAAAGCAAAATTAGTTCATGTTGATATCGCCAAGGCGTAGAGTTGATCATTCACAAAAATGATGTATTTTTGAACTGTGAAAAGTTTAGTAGCCTCGCTGATATTCGAACCCACGCCTCACCCCATGATGGAGCAGCAAGTCTTCGTGACTATGGGATTTGTCCCGTCTTCTGTTCATCACAAATAAGTGTACTTGGTGTTCGAATAACCCCAACTTATATGAAACGCAAGGGGAAAAACATTGCTATTCTACACTGGTAGTTTAACCGCATGCATGAGGTTCTGGTCCCAAAGTTTTGTTCCATTGGTTACTTGTTGGAATTGAGCACCACCTCTATATCACTTTTGGTTTGATTCTGCCTAGTTCATATATACACTTGACGTGTATCCATGACCAGGCGGTAGAAAGTCGACTGATTATTGTATGCTTCCAAACGATATGATTATGCTAGGTTGTAAGTTTCCTTTATCAAGCTTTTTTGTCAGACATGACCATACGGAGGATTTCGGCGATTGAAAATATCTATATATACAGACATGGCCGATAAGGTTAAAGATGAGATCAAAAACAGAATTTCGCCCTCTCAAGGATACGCCTTTCCTTTATCCTTTTTAACTTATTATTTCATACAATTTGTAGAATTACCCGAGGGCCAAAGGGTGCAAGCAATGGCAAAGATTATAGCAAGATTCACTCCAGGTTTTGTGGAAAATGTATGGGTAGAAAGAAACTTTTAATGCTTATCTTGCACAATTTAAGTGTTCAATCAACTTACCGTATTTCGATTCGATCTATTGCTGATCAAGTGTTATTCAAGGGACAGGTTAGTGAAGAAATTCCACCATTTTATTGAATTGATTTGCTGTAACTTGTCATGTAATCTACTTGGTCTGGGATGTTGTCTCTTACTTTGTACATGACCCATGTAATTAGGAACGTTATACAGTGTGTTCCATCAGAAAGTTACCAGCGCATACTCGTACAGAAGGGAATATAAACCAAGCAATATTCTTCTCGCAACGTTTTGAAATGCTTTCCGCAGCTCATATGGATTAATTGATGCTCAATAACGATGTCTATAGAAATTCGTCGAGACTCTGCATAACTATTCGGTACTAGGGGCTGGAACCGGTAATAAAAAACAACGGTAGTGAATCGAGGTAACCAGTAAAAGTGAGTTCAAATATCATAGAATGATTTCCCGCTGAAGATGAGCTGGATTTCCCATCTAGCTCCCACATTCCACCGTCGCAGAAGCGTCATGGTTAGAAAACCTGCTCACGAAAATTCATCAGTTTCGGTTTGAGAGATTTGTGATCGAACCCATTGTTTGACACCTGCTAAAATCCAAAGGTTTTCAGCATTGTTATGAACAGAATTTAGGAATTTGTTGTAGGCTTCCGAAAGGCAATGATGCAGGTATTCACACCCGACCAAATTCCACCAATTCCAAGATCAACGAACTTGATCATTTGCCTTCCGCTTGATTGTCTGATACATAATCATTTCCATAGAAACTATAATTGGATGACATTTATCAATGTGTTCTGGGACTACAAACATCTACCTAAGCTAGTCTTACGAATTCGTCAGAATGACTCGAAACTCTGGGTGGATAACTGTGCTTGAAAACTTCAGCACAAGTCTGTTATCTGTACGAAATGTGTACCAGAACAGCGCAATGCGGGTTGGAAAATCGATGCGCGGACGATTCAGTTTTCCTGCTCGAGTTCACCACTTGTTTTGGCCTCGGTTCATTTACATACTACCCGTGTGTCATGCATGTGTGCATATTATCCTATCTGTTTTCCGATTTGGAACTAATTCAAACAGTGAGCATAATATCGACAGAAGTGAGTTGAAAACGATGTCCATGAGTGAAATCGTCCAACAAGTAGAGAGAAAAGGGGTGACTTTCAGTAATACCGTGTCAGTTTCGACAACCTACAATCGGCTCTAATGATCAGCCGGTAATTGAAATGGGTATGCATGCAAACATAGGCATACATTCATTTAGAGTTCTGACGTGCACGGAAAACAATCTCGAATCACATTAGCGTTTTTATCGGATTTTACAGTAACCTCTGTACGGTTATTATCAGTCTGACCAAACTTCCCTACTCCGTGCCAAAGGACATCAGTGAGGAGTATAAGCAATTCAAGGTAGAAAACTTCAAATTTTATTTTTGATGTTCGGCGAGAATATATCAGTACTTACTTGAATACATATATATACATATATATTGACTATTTAAATATAAAACTTAATTTTATGTGATGTGAGGTTTGGTCTAGACATCATTGTGGTCACGAAAAACGTGCCATGTCTTTAGTTCACTCTTACGAGACAGATATATTCTCATAGAACTGCTTCTACTGGTGGCTGAATCATTTTGATACAGTCACACTATAGAGGTTTGACTTTTTAGTTGTAATTTTTTGAATATATTTCATGGCTCACAGACATTGAAACAGCAATTTCTGACAGCACACGAATACCGCAGATCAATTCATGCATTCCTATATGTAGTTTTTTCCCCCGATACGGCTGCATTCTCACAAAAGACCACAGTCTCGATATCGTCCATGCTACTATCCTCCCTATAACACTACATGGTTGATGTTATTATATGGTAACTAACTAGTTTGCCCTCATCCCTGTGGGCATCATACCGTGAGTCACATCGAAACCAGTCCAAACTTTGTTATTTCTCCTCTATTCAGGCGGTCATTTAGGCTACTGTTCGATGCAGGGTAGCTGGAATACCCACAAATAGCAGGAGAAGCGTGGTATGGTGTGTGACGGGGGTTGATGGGATGCCTGTGTAAATATTTACCTTACTCACCTTACTTTGAAGTACCATTTATACTATAGGATGTTCTTGATGAGTCACAACGCCGAAAAATTAGAGAACCAGCGAAAGATCACCTCATCTTACATTTAAAGCCAATCAGGTAAATACAAGCATTATCATATTCGGTATTGCCTTGATTTTATCCTAACAATAAGTTTATACCGTATTTATCTTTCATCATAACCGAAATTACTAATTTAGGTACCATTTCATCCAACTAACCATCCATTCATCCATCCACACCCTTAAATATTCATACATGCACACGTATAAACCGGAACACATACTTCACATTTTACCTCTAGCACCGTCACTTATCCACTTCATCCTTTGCGCAATTGGTTTCGCTGCTTTTATTCATTTTGAGGTAAAAATTGACTGAAAGTTGTCTAATTCTGGGGGACGTTTCCACAATACAAGGGTTAATTTTCTTGGTCATTTGTGTTTAGATCATTATTTTGGATATAGCATTCGGAATATCATAAGTATAGATCGAAATATCAGTCTACAATTGGTTTATTTATTTGTCTGAATCTGCATGTCACGTCATTGAGAAACTCGGTGTCTGTTAGCTTTATACCACTCTTATACTAATATAGGGGATGGGTGATGTGACTCGCTACTCCAAACTAAAGTTTTCATCTTTGGTTTATATAATTATAAAAACTCATCCCTCCCACGTTTCACCAATAAACGTTAGGGAATAAATAGAATAATTCACACATCTGCTGACTGTCATCAGGTTAATTTCTATGCTGCCGTTGCGTTTTTCTCATTGTGATCGTATGTAGGAACAGAATATACTTTCGCATATGAAGTCTAACCTTTCTCTTTTGTTTATCATAATAAAAATTAGAGTGGAAATTCGTGGTGCCGCCACTATCTTGGATGTGAGCTTTTTCGCCCGTTCTTTATCCGAGGGCGAGGACACCTGGTCCCATACAATCAATGAACTTACCACCGAATTGCGTCATTGTCAACGGCAAATGGACTGTCTTTCGGGTCGTATTGCTCGAACCGGAAAGCAACGACTTGTGTTGGACACATTCGCAGACAATCTAATTCGCCGGGATGAGGAAGTAACCGGTACGGTTGGACTCGGTGGAAGCGGATCGATGGGAACTTTGATCCCAGGTGTTGCCGCAGGTGTGACAACTGGTGCAGGAGTTACACAAGCACCGGGATTGTGTCCTATCTCCTCTGGAGCGCCGTCTCCACAACTGAACAGTGATCACAAAAGCTCACTGGAGGTAGGTTGGTGTTTTTCACTCAGAAATACCCATATACTAATCTCGAGATAACTTGCCAATTTTCAGAAACATTTCAATCAAGTATGCCATTCCTTTTATACTGCATGGATGCATGCATTGGCTGGCACGTAAATTATGTTGCGAGCATTGTCTATTACTAAGCTTGACGTTTTTTATATTGTACAACCATTCGGAGACTGCCATATGTCTAACTTCATTTTTAGTCCCACTAAATGTGACAGGCGTGCCTGAAACTAAAAACTTAGTCCGATGTGAAGTACTTTTTCAGCCTTGGCCACATGCACGATCACGCAAACAAAGGCCGTTGCAGAATGGAGAAACGGAACTTGTGTTGATAGCTTTTATTTACTGCCTAAGTTTAAAAAGTTTGGTTGTTAAAGTTTATCACGGGATATTCACTTTTCACTTCTTCTGAAGGTCTCTTCCAATTTATTGGGCAGTTCATTATAATAGATGCATGATTTAACAGAGACTTTTTGTTCCGTTGTTGCATAACTGTCTGCGTTACTTGCAAATGCTTCACGCACTCAAACAAATGAATGTTATAATCTCTGGTTTGGTTCTATGATAACGATATGCGACAAATATGGATGCTTTCGTTTATCACCAGTGATTGATTTTGTGATCTTGCATGTACTCTCACTGTGATTTTATCATAACCTCAATAACAATCAGCAAATAACTAGAAAGTTGAGCTTTGGGTTTAGAATGATCAGGAAATCCACTGTGAAATTCTGATTGGAATGCATGCATGTATTTATCAAAAGGAGGTCGCACCAAACCCTTGTTATACTAAAATGATTCGTGGATAGTGGTATCGTATTTCGATGATAGAAGGGGGCTGGCTGAGAAAACAATGACATATAAATACATTATAGTTCCACTTCGAAATTACATTTAATGGTGAGCAGTGGTTTGAGATGGATTCTTTATTTTGTCTGAGCCTTAATCAGGCATTATCTCTACGCCATATCCTCAGTCCGTTTAGACAACTATACATTTCAAAAACACCATGCTTAAACAGTACTGTTGTTATAGCTCATTAGTAGTGCACATGCACTCATTTTGAATTTCCATTCAAAATTGTCAGGCCAAAGATTGATGGCATAGGAAATAACTCCAGTTGGTACTTTTGTTAACACCCGGTGATCTGGTTAGCAAGCGCGCGAAAATCCACTGGAATTATAAGCTAGAAGTTCTAAGTTATAGCCCCAATACCGTTGACTTTGTATTTATCTTTGAAATTCCCTTTCCGAAAGGTTTTAATAATTTTGTAACTAATGATTTCACCTACGGCTAATATGGCAAGAACTTTGATGTGCATCAAGGTTTGTGTGAAATCTAATATTATTAATAATAATACCAATAATAATAGCAATAAACCTGGTTGTATTTTTACCGCTCTATAATCTCATAGTCATAGTAAAAACGTTCTAAACCTCCAATGTTTGGTGTTTTATTTCATTATTGACATTTCCAAACGAACATGCACAACGAAATCTCGTAGTGAAAAGATGGTTTTTGATCTGCCAGTAACGTAGCTATCACCGTTCCTCATCCTCATTGTGGATTTTCAATGTAAAAAGTAATCTGAATCCTCAAGAAGGGTCTTGGGCTTCGGCATATTTTCGATGTTATTGAACTTCGTGATAGTGTACAGTTTGTTGCTACGCAACTCCCCGCAACCAATTTCATTTTACCACTCAGTTAAATAAAACAAATTGACCGCATTTCAGTGAAATAAGTTAAATTGTTGGTGGTTTGAAAAATCATAACCTGATGGAAGCTAATTTTGTTTTTTATAGCTGCGGCCCATTCAGGGTAGCCGTCCTAGACCCGGAATATGCTGGTACAGTATTTGGATAAATTCCTACTAGCACACAGAATGATCTTGTGGTAATCGTTTTTGAATTGTACGTATTATGTTGACACTTAGTTCTTAAAAAGGGTTTCCACAAAAACATAATGGTCGATTAAGTTGATAATAAGGATAGTATGGAGTGGAATGCTAGGTAAAATATGGAAATCTGATCACTGTGTAATTGGTATGTCCGCAGTCATTCATAGGTTAATCGCCTCATGAGAGTTTCATATCAACATCCGTCCATCGGCCTGTATGAGGGCTCACTAGTCCGCCCTATTCTATTGACTGTCGTACAAGGCAAGTAATTCACCCATGGACCAATAAACTGTTAACGGTCGACATGCACTGAAACATACGTATGCATACTGCCATACGCTAGCTGTCTAGTTTGATTCTACTATGACTCTGCGTTACGTTTGGCCAGGTTCAATCACGAAAATGGGTGAATTGTTTGGATCACTGCTGTGGCAACAAAGCCCGAACGCGTAATCATCCATCCACAACTATCGGCATTCGAACGAGATCATCGGGTCCCGTTGCTTCTAGTAGCAACAGTCGACGATTGTCCCATCCTTTAGTCCATGGAGACCGTGGCTATGTCGAGGCACGATCCCATGTGCTGCCACTCGGTTCGGTGTATTCCGTGCAGTCGGATCCTTCCGGATCGAAGAACACTTTGCAAACATTATCCACGAGTGCCGTCTCCCTGACCAGAGTGAGGTGTTCATTCTCTATGATTGCCTATAAAGTGCATTATAAGTATACTTTCTGCACCCATCAAATTTGGGCGGTGGAAAAACGCGCACCATAGCCTAACCATCTTAAGTGACTGGCTGCGTCCGGGTCTTGGTAAACGGAAACACTGTGCCCATGTGTATGAGAAAGCGTTTTTACACAAAATGCGATTAGCAAAATTTTACCAAAGTTCACTGCTCATCGTGTTTTATTCCTGTAATTTTGTATCTTTTCACTAAATGTGATGTCAACGAATGGCACGAAAAAATAGAAGCAAAAAGGCGTAAAACCGATGAACCCCAAATGGCGAGGATTTGCCTCGCAGTCTCGTGTACCAGTCATTCTAATTGGCTTATAACAGCCTCAGCTACCTTCGAAAACTGGCCTCACACATCAATCTCAGAAACAATAGTTAAACCGTGGAAACATGTTATTATGGTATAGATAGATAACATAGAACGTATGAACCCATGCGAAACCCCCTTGGTGAAACTGCAAAGAAATTGCAAGGCGAACGATGAAGTTATGTTTTGTGGGACTGCAAAGACAGTATGCATATTTTTGCAATTTTGTAAAATATCTTATGAAACAATGCTATAAAATAATCAAATCTCTGACATCGAATTGTTCTTATGCAATGCAGATTATGTTATGTTCTATTATTAATATTGTTCCAAACCTTTATTTATTCACTATATGCTTGTAAAGTAAACTTTCGGAAATGGGTTAATTCTAATCAAAATAATAGAGAGAAGCGGAGAGATGAAGTGTCTGTGGCTGGACTAGAGTTGATATGACGATAACCACGTTAAACATTATATCATGTCAAAATATTGGCGAAAGCATTTGAGTTTGAAAGTTGTTTTTGAAGTCATGTGGAATGACGGCGGGGGGAAAATGTCTGATTTTACTTAAACTTCTTAGTTAGTATTAATGAAGCAATCCAAATTTACTCTTAATCCTATCACGTTTATTAGGGAAAACTTCGAATCGGGTAGATGTATCACAGATGAAAGTGACAACACATTTGACCATAAGCGACATTTGATGGTAAAAATGGTTTCGAGCGAACGAAAGTCTATTATTCAAACCTCTTGATTTGAGCAACTTTGAGAAACTGACATTAAACGTAGGAAGAAATTAGTTTTATCCATCTCGACTTGCGTGTCAGTGAATCTTAGGGAAAAACACTGTGATCGAATAATAATTATGTAACGGAAACAACCAATTTAATGGTATTTCTCAGTTTTTTTCCTTACTCCTCTGGCTGTAGCATCAGATCTGCAGCGAATACTTTTAAAAAGTTACCATCAATTCACCCATGGAATAAACTGATTTTTGGTAAAGTTACAAACTAGTGAAGTCATATTTCCCCACAGGCAACCGCATTTGCATCGATATGAGATGTACATTGAAAAGTCCGTGTTCGGACAATACGACGTTGATATGGCCGGTAAGGTGACCCTGAGATCAAGCATCAGTAATGACTGTTTCTTATGAAACTTTCTTTGTATCAAAAATGCTGCTTTATTATGCAGTGGTAAAGGCTGTTTCAGCATCATACAGGTTTCTTTAGGTATTTCTCTGGTTTCCTGTACCAATTCACAAGGGCCAGTTTACCGAGTACCACCAGTCGAGGACTAAATCCTCTACTATTCACCACGGAGAGATGCTATGCTATTCAAGTGCGTTCTGTTTTAAACGAAACTGTATGACATAAGAACTGATTGCTAGAATGAGATAGCCACGTTTACGCATGCCACAAGAGTGTGTTAACTATAACGTAGTATGTGAATGAAGGTTCCTTATGTCACGAACGGTATCATTTAAGGACCTGGTGTTTTTTCGAGGAATCGAATTTTAAATACATGGTGCTGTGTTTCGAGCCTGCATTCCATAAAGAACAGCGTTTATTCTTTATCATAAGACACTCGGGTGAAATTCGCGGATTACAAAAGCAAAGGATTCGGTGACCATTGCGAGTGCCTAGATGTGCCTGTTACTCCCTTTTCGGTAAGGTTCGAAAATGTGTCTAACTGCGCACTTCATGCACTTCTGTGGTATGCAGTCGGTGAAGGTCATTCATTTACCTACCCACCGCAACACTGTCTATATCTATCCCTAAGGGCATTATGATACAGTTCCCTAGTTTCTCTTCTGTAGGCACGTTGAATTGCTTTTCGCAATTTCGCATTTGTTCATACTTCCATTTGATTTAGTGTGGCGTTCATAGAACATTCAGAAAAGATACCGTATAAGTACTTACCACCGATACCTAAAGCATTCTGTCAGTTTCGTTGCGTACATTTATAGCAGTCACAAGAAGCATAACACAATATGTAAGGTAGATAGAAGAATGAGAGTTGATTGTTTGCTGGCGAGTTTACACCTATCCCTCGTCCTCGAGGCCTACGAATGTTTTTGTTTATTTTATGCTTTTCAATAAATCTTGTTATCAGCAAACCAGGTGTGCTTGTTAGGCCACAAGCGCGCGGATCCCTTTAGAGCAGGTCACCGGCAAGTAATGCAATTGAGAAACAACCTTAAACTTAGATGTAGTGCGCTACTGTCGGTGTTTTATGATTTACTTCAGGTCAGATTGTATGACATTGATGTTTGGATTCCTGACACACTGATTGCATCTTTTTTCATTCTAATTGTCTGTGTATCCGAGTTGAAAGCAAGTAAATGGCAATTGGTTGACTAACGTTATCAATTTTAAATCGTCTCAGTAATGTTTCTCTGATCGACAGAGGAATTCCGTTCTCAAGAGCTCGAGTCCGGTTTCTTACCAGGAATTCATGTATTATTGCAAGTTAGCTTAGTAAAGCGCTTTACTTTCCCGAAACAGTGCAACGAAACTGATAAAATTATGCTTCGGCAAATAACTGATCGAAAATTTACTAGGTTACCGTTACAGCTGTATGCATGAAATATGTATGTATCCTCTCTTTCTATCTGTTTCCGCTGAGGCTTTTTTATAACACGCTATGCTTCATGTGCTCTCTGAAATGTCAAGCATGTTCGTTATTCAGCTGCCTGCTTTTATTCTCATCTTAAACCAAGAGAGAATTTCTGTTGGTCATATTAATCAATCTATTCTGTCCAATTCCATTATCACTAACTTCAGCTTGGGTGAACTCAGACAATCTGTGATACCTGTTCAACAACGCCAAATTGGTGGTTGAAACAACGTCAATAATAATAATAATAATAATAACGGTGATAAAGATCTTAATGATAATCCGTTCTTCGGTAATCACAAGCTACAAAATATAGCACAGTGACATTCATTATTCTTTACAAACCGAGTACAGAAATAATAAAATGACAAGAATCTAAGTTGTAAATGTAATTATGTGAATTCTTTTGTCCTCTCTCCAAACATTCTTTTATCACGTTTTACCTCAACGATGTTTAAAAGAAAATGTATTCAAACGATCCATTCGTTCGTATCATACTGTTTCATTGTATATTGAAACACTGTCCGGCCTCAGATGAGTGTGAAATATATATATATATTATTGGTCGGAATTGGGGTACCAGCATAAAACTAGCAATATCAGAGTTATACAAGTAAAATTTCACGCATCGAAGCGACCTGTATCTGCACAAACTGAATTGCCAGTAGTAGTTAAGCTGTTATTCGTCCTTTCACTATGGTCGAAATACAAACTAAGGTGGTTTTTCTGCAGAATGCTTCAATTCTATGTGAAGTAAAATTACCTTTGTGATTCTCTGTGCAACTAAGTCTGCTTATTTTTGTGTACTCCTCAAAATGGACGTATGCTCCGTTGAGGCATTTGATTTCTGTCGCATAGACAAAAGCATGCCAACGCTTATTGTGAAAATGTCCCAATTACTGTCGTCCTCAGTGTGATTTTGATACAAACGAGTAAACTGTTTGCCTGTTCAAGGACTTTGCGTGTATGTTACATGAATAATGTTCCTTTGGAGAGTTCATAGTTGATCGCAGTCTCCTAGTTACTAATAAATAGAAAGGATTTTGTATCAGATGGCTAATGTTAAAATTATTACTTGTCAATGGGACGTTTGGTAAACAAAGTCAATATGTTTTGAAATTAGTGTATAACTGTATCATCATTTTTTCAGAATCGCCATCAGTGTTTAATAACCAAATCCGTCCGGATTCGAACTCCGGCAGCAGCCTTTTGTTTCCGAGTAGAAATTAGCTTCCTCATCACATCTCGAGACGAAACAGGATATTTGGTTCTAATTTCCCATTGTCATCCTAATGCATCAGTTCGTAATACTGTATACTGTATACGATCCACAGAATCTTATAATAGAAATACTTTATAATATTAGGATCAGAAAAGACGAAATCGCAAACTGTCTGATTTGCCGGTTAATATTTCAATATACCACTAAAAAGACAGTAGAATAGAGGGTAAATCTGAATCTACATTGAAACCATCATCCATTAAGAACGGCAGCTAGTCACATGGAATCACTTTTTTAAATTGATTCCTTTCGCTGCTATGATGTGCTTCCGTCTTTTTTCGGTAGTCTCTGTTTGGCAGTTGCAAACGTGTAAATCATTAGACGAATGGCGTTTCTCCGGATTATCGTGATCAGATAGGCTAAAAACCGCATACTCAAATCGGAACTCGTTTTGGTAGAGACTTGATCCCCCGCAGAATCTTTTGTGGTTTGGCTTGATATTTGTGTTTAGTTATTTTTATGAAGTCCAAATTTAAGAGGTAAGACACAAACTTGACTGCTGCTTCCGAATCGAGACATCCTCGGCAGGTAGGATCGTGCCTGAATTTAGAAAAAAGGTAATCTGAGGCTCTCAAAATTATTTTTCCGGCCAACATGACAGCCAAATATGGCTCTTCTGAGTGATTTGCAGTAGGTGAGTAGCCAGTGTTTGCATATGTATTACAACCGCTATTCAATCATACTTGTGTTATTTAGCTTAACTGATTTAACTCATGTAATGTTAAAGACAACCTGTCGTGTGATCGAAATCCTGCTAATCTTTTTGCCTTCATTCAGGCGTTTGCTTAGGAACAACCGTACAATTTATATTCAGAAAGTGTCATTGAAGTATATAAAACGACAAATTACAACATATGGTGTCGGCTGGGCGGTTCGAGTTACAAAATCTGTACTGTTTTAAAATTATTTGAATTTCAATCAATACTCTACATCATTTTAAATTAAAATACGACAATCCATTAACCTAAAACGCTTTGGACATAGTATATGGCGTCCTGAAAATTTTACCTGATTGCTTCTCAGCAATCAGATACACCAGTCCTCTCACCAGCCCATGATTCAAATAGAATTTCTCTCAATGAACCCAGTGTGAAAGTGATCTGATCTCTTGAAGTAGCTTATTTCGTTCACTGGGGAACGACTTACCTCAGAACAATTTGAGGTTGAACAAACTTGCTTCGACTAAATGTTTTTCTGTTTCTTTCGCTTGGTGTGATATTTACTGAACTGTGTTTTAATAATTACTGCTATACACAACATGTTAGCCTTTGCTCGTGCTTCTGGAATGCATTCGCGTCATTTATTTTCGCGTCAGTTTACTGCTCCTCCGGCATGTGAACTGTATGGCTGTACTCGGTGTTCTTTTCGGTATGTGGCAACACGGTCTGCATCATAAAAGCGATTTGGGGGCACCCAATTAGTTCAGACCTCAAATTTTCGTTTTTAATTCTCATTTCAATCCAATGAAAGTGGCTAAGTGTGTAGTCACAAATTTTCGGAGGTCTCTTTTGAAATTGTTCTCCGTCAGACCTTTTTCTGTTATCAGTTAACAATAACAAGCAGTTGTTTAGCCAATTCAGGAGAACAATACCAGCTCCAGTGAACTTATTCACTGAATACTGCATTGGCACGCAATGTACTTCAACTTTCCAGATTGTGGTTGAGGAACGATTGGTGGGTTTCGAAACTGAATTCGCTTATACAGTGACCCAATGGAAAAAGTTACTTTCCCTCTAATTATTCGTGATTCATCACGATCCTACTCTCCAAACTGATGGTAGTAAATAATTAGTAGCAATGCCGAATAACATTTTTGTCGATAAAAACAGAATTTGGTGGATTTAAATTCTGTACTCAATGCATTCAAGCAGTAGGGATGTTCGAAATGCTCCAAAACAAGCCGTTTTCTAGCTGCGTCGCCTGCATCAGCATCCAGACAGTTTGATTATCTGGAATTCGCATGTAACTCACAGTTACTGATGTGTAGTGCTGTGGGGTAGTGTATATTGATTTGAACTGATAACATTTCAGGTGATTACTGAAAGCGACACAGCAACAAACATGTTATGGCAATCCAATTCGGTCTTGATATGATCTGGTTGGCACACTGGTAACACACGTCTTCCGTGCTATGGGTTTGGAGTTCAAAGCCCGGACGGGACAGTGAATCTGCACAACAGATGAGATCTAATAAGAGTGAAAATGGAGTCGAATGCTCTGGATTATATGGTTGACTAGATGAAACGAAGAGTGTGCGTGAAAGTGAAGTCCGTAGGGTGGTCAGTTCAAATCATTATCTGTGTTTCGTTCGAAACGTTTACGAGGACTAAAACTGTACTTGCGATTAACAAATATCAACCTAATATCAATGATTAGACAAGTATTTCCGATTCTTCCCGAAGTACAACTTTTTGTTCCAATATCCAATTCATTATGGATGAGTTCAACTAACTACCAACTTATTTATGTGAGTGGTTTGAGAATTTTCTTTAGGTATTTGAAACTCACGACGGTCGAAACTTTACAAAAAAACGATTTTTTACATTACGGTTAAAGGTAGGTGAATTGTTCGCTATTGCATGTGCAATACATCAATAGTTGACAACCCGTTGCTATTTCTTGGATTTACAAATCACAAAAAATGTCTCGTGATTTAACTAATGGTACGTTGCATGCTGCACGCATGCAAGTGGCTTATGTTTGCGTTCGCGATGAGTGAACAGTAATGCATTTTTACAAGCAGGCTTTACAACCGAACTTCAACAGTTGTTCGGTGAAATAAAATCGTCGACTTTCAGTTAAATGAAATGTTAGGTATTTGTTGTTTCGTTATTTGCTTACCGACTTTCCATGCACACGTTTAAGTCTTACTTTTAAATTGTACCTAATCTAGTTCCGGACGGGTAAAATGTACAATCACCAAATGTTGTTCCCGCTCCTACTGTACATCCATTACGGGTATTTTAGGGAGTCAATCCATACGATCCGCGCAACATGGACACGCTCCATCGATTTCTAAATGTGTATGAAGAACAGGCAGAACGCTTGGACCAATCGTTGATGGATGCGAATGAAGAACTGGAACAGGTGCAAGCTCGCATTGAGGCGATTGAGAAGGAGCTACGCGACATCGAATTAAAACAAGATGAGCGCTTAGCACGGTGAGTGTGAGGGTTATAGTGATGAGTGAATTTTGGTACATTTTGAGGAGTTATTTTCACCACATGGACTAAACCGTTTCTTCCCCTTTTCTTCCGCAATTACAATCGCAATCAGACAGGAGTTACTAATTTCTGTATACAACCGGGAAAACAAGATACTAATTGGTACTTTCTGATCGCTTCTGCTCTCCATGATCGAATTGCCATAAACTTCATACAAAATATCTGATGATCGATTTGGCTCCTTAGTATTGGAAAGCAATAATATATATATATATATATTTTCCCGTTAACCAAAGGGGCAACATTGCCGGAGACAAATACGAATTCAGCAAATGGATCGAGTCATATGCAATAATCTATGAGGTTAAAAAACTCAATCTTTTGTAACTGTTGATGAGAGAAAACCAACTAAAAGTTTAATTAGCTAATTCAAATCCTGTTTTGCCATTTGTCATGCACATATATTTATAATTTTTCCCTTTTCATTATGAACAACCCATTTGGGATTTGCTCAAAGCTCGTTCGACAACTTGCTGTCGACTATTTCACCTCACAAAGTTTGAACTGCAACATGGTGGAAACTCACGGTACGTTTCACGATCGTGCCTCCGTAAACTACTAAGTGATGCATTTGAGGCTTTCATTCAAGTAGTCGAGAAATGATTTGATCCTATCTAGGTCAACCTTTTAAGCCCTACAGTTAAATGCGTGATGTGTAATGACTTGCATGCGGGATCATAATCTGTGTGCTCTCCTGAGGTCTCTAATGTCCTGTTCACTCTTTTAAGCTTCGAGTTCTCCATGTTCGTGGTACGATCTGGGCTGCATGATTTTCCATGATGATGGTACTGGGGCATTCGAAGTGAGACTGCATATATATGTATTTCCAATTATTTTGAACAAAACAAACGGAATGGCAATCACGTCCGTATCGGAGCTGCGATTCGGCAGTGGCATATATCCAACCCCTATGATCTCGAACTTCTGGTAACCGATAAATATCGTGAATCTCGTTTTCTGCCAAGGGAAAACAGAACTTGCAGAAGGCATGTAATTTTTCAGAACATTTTATTCTTGAAACTGCAAGTGCCTGTATCATTTTAGTAGATTTATTACTTCCTTTCGTCTTTGTCTTTTTTTATTGCACCCCAGGTTGTCATGAGAGTTGGTTGCGGTAAACGTTTTTGTCATTGAGCCTTACTAATTCGAAAGTATTTCACCGTAACCGTGCAAATGGTCGCCGCCTGAAGAATCCTTAAAATTCACTGATTTGTGTTTACCAGATGTCACCCGTAACCTTGTTTATATCGGATCATGTTGAAAAACGACATTTATTTACTTAGGTGATAACCGTTTCGCCACCGAGTTCGAGATTACCTTATATACATTTATCAACCCATGAACCACATCTTCCTCCGTACAATGTTTGGGCACAATGGGACTCAGAAACGATTGCAAACTGAAGGTATACCCTCTCCTCATTTCAAAAATGCGGATTTTTCGTGAAGCGGTTGCATAAATATACACGAAAGTATGAATGAAGTTCACTGCATTCGGTGAACGTATACGTGATCGCTGTGAACTTTACATCCTGTTTTCGGATAAAACCAAGCCTAAATAATCTGAAATATGAATATTTCCTTTTCACCCAAACCGTGTTCTATTTGACCAGTGATGTTTACTGTTCACGGATGGGATGAATAAAAATCACTTAAAACTCGTTTGCCCTCTAATGTGTTTTATTCACTATGTGGTAATCATGTGAGGGTTCAACAGAAGACAAATCATGCGACAGACAGATCGCTGAAGCCTGCTGCTGTTTTCAAGAAATCGGTGTACAAGCTGTTTTTCAGTGCTTTATTGTCTAGCCAAATACAGTACTCTTGTAGTTCACAAAATGTTGCCGTTTTCCTCATGGCACACGATTTTTTCACCTCACGTATAATATTAAATGAGCAGATCAGATTCACGTTTGATCGGATCAGGTCACCTTTCATGTCTGCAGTTGCTTCCATTGTATCAGAGTTGATGGACTGATGTGGACCAAGTCGTTATATGTTAGCTCTGTGTGCTTCAAGCTCTTTCCCCGAATAGCCGCAGTCCATCAGAAGGTGCACGCGGATTCAGAAGCACAAGACACAGGCGTGTGCGCTTGCACACCCATATATACTAACAAACAGGCATGATGACCAGTTTTAGGTTTGTCCAGAGTTTTACGTTTCCAATGGTGTGAAAAACAATCCGGTTGCATCCAGACAGGAAATAGTCTTTGGCCGAGCAAGAGTAAGAAAATTTGGCGTCATTTATCGCATGCAAACGACCCCAATCATTCGCGCCCCGTAGATCGATAACATTCAGAGTGATTCACACGTACAGACAATAAACGGTCTAAATTTCCGACTTCCGTTACCAGCTTGACCGATGACTCCACCACCCGGTGACAGTGAAAACTTTTACACTTTGATACTCCCTGACATTCGATGTAAGCACGTTGCAAACAGCTCTTGTGTGTGCGCACATGTGCGCCTGTTTATGTATGCAGAAACTAGAAATTGGTCACCTTCCTGGATAGTCCGTGCCCGCTGACGAACAACCCGGTGGTTTTGTGAGACAACACGGTCCACTGCAATGTGTATGAACGTTTCATTCGAACTTATCACATTTTTGTGGCTTTCTCGAATTACGGTTTTTCAATTCAATGTTTTTAAACGTTAGATTCAGGAATTTTGCGTGGACTCAATATTTAGTACCCTACAATAAAAAGAATACTGTCCAGATATTGCTGCCAATATACTCATGAAGATTTCATTCACTCATTCACGTATTTGTTTCTAACACTAAGATAGTCAAGTGAAGTCAAAAGTCGCTTTGTTCATCCTAATGGGTGGATTCTCAGGTATAAAAATTATTCCTATGTGAGCGAGAAATTTCTCCTCGACGAATCGGGTTCATATAAATAAACCAGATTTATTCATATCTGGGGGTAAATTAACGGATGGAAGCAAACCAAAATCGCGTCCTTGAGTTTATTGACTGCGATAAGTGGGGTTGTTTGGGATTGTTTGCAAGTATTTGTAATATCGCCTCCTACATGGTGATGCAACGGTAGTCTTTTATTATTGGCGATACCAGGCCCAACAAAGATTCTCAGTGGTTAGCGGTGATGATACTAATGGGGCTGAGCTACGAATATCCGGTCCAAAGAAGCAGTTTCGCTGATAATGGTTTAATAAATCAAAGCGCAAAACATCAAAATGACAAATATGTAGATGAAGGTGAAGTGGACCTGCGGCCTCATTCAAGGTTACATTAGGTATCTCGGAGATCAATGGGCGCTGGTACTGTCGAGATTCGATAAACTATAACTGTTGCACAACCTTCTGCTATTCAAGAATTTTTTATAGGTAATTCATCAACTGAAGGTTATCATCACGACAAAGATCAGTATGCTTTGCCTCACATTGTAATACTTGAAGTAAACTGATCGGAAAATGGTAACCTGAGCAACTCTACGCTACTGGATTTTCTTATCGTCTATCAGCTCGCACATATAGGGAACATGTATCTACGGTTACCTTAGACGGATTCCCTTGTGATCAGTCGCTAAGAAGCCGTCTTAACGGAGCTTGGGAACGTGTGGTCCGGTTCGTACAAACACGTAGGTTGGATACTGCAACAAAGTATGTGCAAATGGATGGTCTGCCCTTAATACTATTATCCGTTTGAGGCTGTCATGGTGCATCCATTCCCTAAATAAACTGTGCATCTGAAATAGGAAATAAATTAGTTGGTGCAGTTTGAAACAAGAATAAGCGAAGCACCTTTCGATTCCTAAATGCTGAGTCCTTGAACACCTTATCAGAATAAAGGAAAATGTTTGATCATAGAGTTCAAGCAAGATCTGTGGTTATTCAGAAGGTTGTTTCCAACGGATACTAGATGAATCGGAATCGAAAGCCCATGCAGAACTATATACATGATTGTTGTGCAGGAATAAAGCATCATCATTCTCCGTAAAATATTTGTAGAGCGGCTACTGCAGCAGAAGTAAGATTTTTTATGCTCAATACAAAAACAATGATAAGGGAGAGCAATTGTGCAATCAGTTCTTAGAACAGTGGCATTCGTTGATTGGAGATAAAACTTTCAGATAAAACGGAATAGAACAACCATCGCACGGGTTTAATAAATCTCTGAATATGAAGCAACCGTTACATAATCATAATAAATTTGCATAGGCTCTTTAAAAAAGGAAAATTGTGTCAAATATTCACGTTCAGGGTACGATTATATCAGTTTTTGCGCAGTTTTCAATTTTCTGGACCGTAAATTCGGATCGGTTATAAAACTCTAACTTCCGGTTAGACTAAAATTTCTTCTGGCCTGATCACTCACCTTCCGCGAATATTGTGTAACCACGGTTAATCTTTCTATCGAAAGTCAACCGTCCACCTCGATGAATCCTAGATTTAAGATATCGTAATACCACTGAAATCAGTAACTAAGGTTGCCCAACGACGAAACATATGCACACATTTATTGATTTTCAACGTGTATCAAATCACTTCAGTGGGTACAGGACTCCCGGTCTCACAAATCTTTTGAGTGCACTCGCTTATAAACTTGAGCACTACTCTTCTCTTTGAAGATATACCCCGGAAACAAGTCACTTCCTCTGTGAGAATGCATTTTCACGGTTCCAACTGCTTTAACGACTTAGTGTATGCCTCTATGTAGTGAAACGGCCTACACAGAGACAGAAACCACCAATTGATTCTTTGCTAAAGACAAATGATTGATTCTCCAATGTTGGCGTGTCTCAAACGATGCGCTTCAGCAAGCATGTATAGGCATTGCAGACCATCCAGTTTTTAGGCATAGTGATTTAAATAATAGTATCAGTGGATGCCTGGGATTTCTGCGTCTAGGGGTGTTTCTGTGCTTGTTCGGAGGTGGCTATCGCACATACAGTTTTTGCGTTGGATCTCCAAGCTAAC